AGTGAGGTGTTTTGAGAAAATGATTGCAAATGACTTAAGCTTTTCTTTTTAGAGATAAGGACAAACAAATGGAGTTTTGCATCAACATGCAGGGCAAATGCTAACATGAAAATGGTTTCTTTTATTCAGTTACTAGGCAGCATTCTATATCAATCCGAGAATTAACCAGCACAATGTGCGAATTTGGGCGACAAAAAACCTCACTGTACTGTGAAGCATGAATGAGATTCAACAAAAACAAATGTGTTTTGTGCAATTTCGGAGATCATTCCATGTATTGGCCATTCTTCTTCGTGGAAGAGTTCTCACAATTACAGGAAGATTAAAATAATTTTGTCTTCTTCCAGCATTGGAAGATGGAAGTGCATGAATTCCTCAACAATGGAATTCCTGATTGTTGGCTTGCATGTGTTGGAACAAACTACAAAGTTTCATTCGTTCCCCCACCCCAGGGTCACGACATCGCTTCATGTGACTTTTTTTAAGGAGAACCATGAAAAACAAAGTGTATGAGCCACAAAACTTCCAGGACCTGTGAACATGCACAGATAATGGTCTGAACTGAATTAGTGACACCAGACATGCTTAAATGAGCATGGAAAGAAGTGGACTATCGTCTGGACTTGTCTGCAACTCAGTCATACTTAACACTTCTATTGTCAGTTAAGTTGTCCTTTCCTTAACATTTGTTATAGTAAGTCTCTACATATGTATAATTTTGAAACTGATAATACTTAAACCACAATGAAAATGCAACTGATGATACATTACTGGCCATACTGGATTTATGCAGATAAATTTTGTCAACCTATTTCAGATTACATCCTTTTGCATGCAGTGTATTGACATTTTCCTTTTCATGCAAAGTTCCTCCCCCCCCCACAAGTATATAAAACCACTAAAAGTTAGAAGCTGAATCCAAAGAAAGGCTGAATGCATAGGCATTTTTGCAATTTTGGATGTATGACATAAACACAAGCCAATTTTGTTTACAAACCAGCTCTAAATAATACCATAGGCAAAAAGTCCCAGCACGTTTTGCCTTAATCCATCACCCTAATAGATCAATTGGTACTTTATCTTCACGGCCTTCATAATTTAATTAACACCATTATCATCAATAAATCACCATTATATACTGCAAAAATGTCACCAAACAGGTGGCAGTCCTATGATCATTCACAGAGTGTTTCATTTATTTTAAAAAAGCAAATAAGAATTTCTGGCAACATCTTATTATTTCAAATGAGAAATATTGCCAGCTGCTTTTTACACTTCTTCTTTCAAAATACCACCTGTAAACAAGCTGTGGATTAATGGATATGTTTTTACATTTTCAAAAGAGAAATATTCCTATTCCATAATTAAAAAAACATTGCAAAATGCATGGTAAAATTTTTAAGCGCAAAATAAGCATTATTATTAATTGGAAGGGGAAAAAAACCATCAATCATTACCTCAATCAATCATTACTACAAGGAAAGAAGATTCCAAACAAATATTGAAAAAAGGCATGTATTTCTAATGTTTCGAAAGTTAACAAGAGAAAAATCTGATGATGCAGAAATCAAAGTCTTTAAACATATCTTTAACAGCAATAATAAGGCAAGATTTACAACTTAAGGAAACTAAAAGATATAATGTTCACCAGCTTTTGCCTAGGTACATGGCTCAACACAGAACAGTTTGGAAAACTCAGTATGAAAACTATTTAGCAGGAGATAAATGGAAATACATTGTGACCCTAGATGAAACATACCTAAATGACTGCAATAAAAAAAGGTCTATTCATTATTAAAAATAAAGAAAACAAAATGTACAAACCTGGTTCCGTCAATGCAAAGAAAGTTTCAGCAAGAGGTTTATAACGACTATCACAGGGTTCTCAAAGTTTTATGTCCAACATTTTACAGAAATTCCATTTCTTTATCTCGGTCAATTTCAAAGAGTGAAACTTCATCAAGATAAAGCAAGTCATACTTTGAAAAGTACCACTACATTCCTTGAAAACTGAACACTGATACAGGTATTGCATATGTATCTTTTCAACTTATTCCTGCAAAATTCCCCGACACTTAACTTATGGACTATATTGTACCTTCAGTCTCTTGAAAAGAGATCGTTCTAAGTGCATACCCCACATGACTGATGGACTCTGGAAAGCAGTAGAAGAAGAATGGAAATCAATATCTCTGGAAATTTGTAAAAAGCCCTTCTATCATGTAAATCACAGTCCAGGAAAAATTTTATGAAACAGAAAATTTTAAAAAATACTCTTTATCTCTTACTACAGTCTTTGTATATCTTACTCAGAAAAAAGTCGTGTGTTAAAAAATACTCTTTACTAATATTAATTAAATGGCTGAAATAATTCTAAAAATATGTAAACAGCCTCTGTATTGTTACACATTATCAGAAGTCATGTGCTATGGCTATATGTTTATCATATTTTCTGTCCAGCTCCCTCCCTAAAGTGTTAACAATTTCTGATTTACCAAAGGGTGAGGAAACTATTAAGGACTGCTAGCCATTTGGCAACAATTCGCAACATACGATGGGAATTTATTGACAGTCCTAGCACCATTTATATAATGAAGACCATAACAATGAAGAAATAATGATAATATTTCTAGATTTTTCCAGAAAAATAATTAAGTATATGACAGTGCCTTATTTCATTGTTCCCTATAGTGTTTGTACAATACCACACTCTAAATTTTATAAAAATTCCTCTTTCACAAGTTAAAAATTACTTTTTATCATCCTTGCTACATTTTCATCAGCAAAAATTGAAATACGCAATTACCCGGTAGCAGAATTTTGAAGCAAAATCACCTTTAATTTGTAGAATTACAAATCACATTAGATCTTAACACTCAAAAATATGATTACATAGGATATGCATTTTATTATTTTGGATTGATGATAATTTAATTCAACATTAATCAAAATTGTTATTAATTCACTGAGTTGAGAAAGTTTAAAGGAGTCTATCCATTGGTGGATTTGGGGAAAAAAATGGATAGCTCACAAAATTTTAAATGGACTCGTGGTATTAAAACCTTACAATATTATTAACTTCAACATTGAAGAATATTTTAACTTTTCATAGAAATACATATTTAACAAGAGAGCAAGCTAAATTTAAAAAAATTACACAAGATAACTTCAAGTTTTCATTACCACTACCAATAACAGCTTGTGTTAAGTGTGCAATATCTGTTCAAATGCATCTGAAAATTAAAAGTACAACCTACTCGAAATTTTTGAAATGCTTGGCATATACTTGACAAAAAAGCTAGACAACTACTTTTTATAATAGTCAATATAACGAATGAAAAATTCTATAATCCACACAAGAATATATATTTTAGCTTCACCTTTATTTAAATAATTATGAATTTCACTCACACTGAAAAAGTAAGCTTGCATTAATTCCAATGACATGATTACTTGGAATAAACAATGAACAGCTTAAATGTCAACACACCCCAAAAAGATTCACATTTAAATGGAATTGACTCAGCATGGAATTCAGTTGCACAGAAACTCAGGAAAGTTTTTTTCAAGTTTATTTTACAGTAAATTTCTGTTATATCATATATTAATTCTAAATGTCTAAATATATCATTATAATATGAAAACTAGTTAAAAGCTAATTTTTTAATACAAATGTAGATCTTGGAAAAGTTCAAAATATAATCAAAACTAAAATACTATTTACTAAACGGAGATTAAAATAAACTGTTAGTTTAAAAATCCAATAATTCATTTAAATTACCAAGCATCTCGACTGAGCATTTTTTTATAACCAACAGAGAAATAAATACTAAAATTCTCTCTATTATGATCATTTTCCCTTCCTACATAATAGCAAATTTCACCAAGAGATAACGGACTATTGGTGAAATTTTGACAATACTGAACTTTAAGAAAATTTGACTAAACCTCATTTTATGTAATTTCTAGAAACTTAAAAAAAATTAATTCTTTTTAGCTATTAAAAAATTTCCATTTTTTTAATTTAACTACTTAAAATATGCACGTTGCAACCTCATTTTAATACGCTGCATTCGGTATTTGAGAAGTACTGCTTTTATTTTGAAATAATTGTTAAACTTGCACTACTAAATTTAAAATTTTATTTTTATTTAATGAATATTTTCCCTTCTTTTATTATGATTAGATTAGTTAAAATTTATCACATGATCACATGATAAACAAAACTTATTTCCGGTAGAATTAGAGAATACTCACTCAGCATTCTCGCCCAACAGCTCCCATCTTATGCCCAAAATAATTTTAAAAGCTAGGTAAAATATGCTACATGCTATCTGCACATGCTACACAGATTTAATTATATGCAAATGAAAGTACGTTAATACATCATTTAAATTAAAAAAAAAAAAGCATTCAAAAACAAGCAAAGCATAAGACAACATGCAAAAAAAAAAAAAAAAAAAAAAAAAAAAAAAAAAAAAAAATTCTATTTTCTAAAAGCATAATAAAAAGTACCAGCAAAGAAATAAAATTCATTCAAATCAGGCTGAAACAACTAAACTTTTTATTAAAAATGCAGTATAAGCTGTAAGCTGAATTTTAATTCACATAAATGATACAGAAAATCATGAAAATCATTCAACATATGCAAACCTTTACAAATAAACCAATAAATAGAATACATCAAGTATTCCGTGGCAAGTCTTTTATGAAAAGGTCCCAGCACTGAGCCTAAGTTCATACTTTATATATATATTACAAAACAAGCCAGTCCAATATCACAAGGTGAGAAGGGTTAAAAGTGCACGGGCAGGCTTTAAACATCACTATTGGGAACATGCCTCATGCCTTAAGAGAGCATTCATCCCATGAAGTCACTCCCTGCATTTTATCCCCTCAACACCACACTCTTTGGTCTCACGTGAGCATTTAATACATTCCCGTTGCTCACGCAGAGCTGGAATGCTGAGTGTCCATTCTGGGAGGCTACTTGGACAAACCTGACTGCTGTTGCTGTGGTGTGCTGGCAAATGCTGGACTTTGTCCTTGGGGATTGGCCCCTTGACCAACAGCATTCAAGTTTGGTTGAGGCTGTGGTTGGGGTTGGCCGGTCAGCCTGGACAGGATTCCCCTCTCAGACATTTGCAGCCTTTGTGCCACAGGAGGAATGCGAGCAAGAGTAGCAGGTAAGCGACTTACATCAGACTTCATGTCACTCAGCAGCTCTTCTAACTGGTTGAGCACTGGAAAAAAAGAAAATATATACATATGTAAAAATGAAAAAAGACATAGCAATGTTGATGGCATAGAAACATCAATAGCATAGTATGTAGATTCATAGTGAAGAGGAAGAAATTTGATTGCACAGAATGTTAAAAAATGTTGAATCCATAATGACTAGGAAGTTTGGCAGCCAAGTAAGATTAAATATTCATTTTTATTTTGATATTGTGGCCACAATTCACTTAACACTCTAATCATGCCTATTTCTAGAATACTTACATTTTTTACACTGCTGTGGTGGGAAGAGAGTGAAGGAAATAGTATCTTAACAAGAAGAGAGGCAGAAGGTAAAGTGCGAAATTACCCAATATGGAATTAGCTCATCAACAGAAGGTTTTGGTTTACGTTAGAAAGTTTTCAGTTTTTGAGTTCAAGTTCTGAACTAGCTACATCATCAGCATTACGCAAGTCACGAGACACAGATAAATTTAGAAACAGTGCAGTCCAAAAAAGTTATTACTACTTTACCCGAATTAAACTGGAAATACCCGAATTAAAAATGAGGAATTAAGAGGAATAAGAATTACATAGCTAATCAACATATTTTTTATCTTACACACACATACATATATATAGTATTTCCAATTCACATATTATATATATATACATATGTATACATAACAGGGATACCCATAAGTAATCAATTCTTTTTTTAGAGTGAAGTTGGTGTATTTAATTACGGCAAAGCACACTAGAGCTATCTGCCTAAGGGGAGGGATGCCTTCGTGGAGGACTTTCTAAGGGAAACTGGCTCGTATACACGTTACACATGAGGAAAACCACGAAAACACCCATGCAGCCAGCCCGTTCGCGGGATTCGAACCTCGGACCGAACTACCAGTATTCAGCGACTTTACCGCTCGGCTGCTGGTGGGCTCCTAGTGTGAAGTATTTACTTCAATCTACGGCAGAGCGTGAATGTATAAAGACGTGTTTTATGATGGAATATTACAACATATGGTCTTAACTTTTGTCACAGCTAAATTCAAAAGTTTTTCTTCCACAGGTGTAAAATGGTGGATAATCCACCAACTGAAAAACATTTACGTTATAGCATGCTGTTTTATTTTCGATCGCGCATTAATGCAATCTGTGATTGTGTGGAGACATTAAAATCAATAAAACCAACCCTGGTTTAGAAAATTTTCGAATGGTGATTTTGACTTGTCTCATAGCATTTGAAGAGGATACCTGGAGAATATGATAATTATGCTTTAAAATCACTAGTGGTAACTGATCCTAAACTGAATATCCGGGAAATAGCAAACAATCTTCAGGGTACTTGGTCAACAGTACAACGACATCTTCAAGAAATCGGGAAGGTTTATAGCAGGGGATATGGGTTCCACATCTGTTATCGAGGATGAATTTAGATCAACGGTGAACAATTTGCACATGTCTATGCTGACAATGAAGTGATAAATTTTTACGAAAGAATTGTTACTGATGATGAGATATGGGTTCCACATCTGTCATCGGGGATGAATTTAGATCAACGGTGAACAATTTGCACATGTCTATGCTGACAATGAAATGATAAATTTTTACGAAAGAATTGTTACTGATGATGAGAAATGGATTTTGTAAAATAACAAGTGCACCAAACAATTGCTTTCTACAAATCAATTAGCTGTACCCACTCCTCCACCATTCCTCAGTTTAAAGAAGTCATTACTATGCGTTTTGTGGGACTGTGGCAGCATAATTCATCTTGAACTATCAAAATTGGAAGAAACAGTCAAGTTCCTCAAAATTTTGAGTATTACTAACAATTGGGTAAATTATGTAATGAATAGTTGGTAAAACGCCCAGCTCTGCTCAACAGGAAAAGGGTGAAAATGAAAATTATTTGGCAGGTGAAAAATGGAAATACATAGTTACAACTAATAGGACTTGTGTTAAAATATATTTCTGATAGTAATTTGAATTAATTTTGACATTTTTTTCTACTTTCCTTGTTTCAAATTTTCTGTTATAAGAGAATCCAGTAATAATGCCAGATTGCATGCAACAAGATTAACCAAAAAATAAGGCAGCTTAACTGGAAAGTATTACCACATTCCCCAGAAGTAGCCCCATTCAATTTCCATTAATGCACAAAACCAAATGAATGGGCCCTTATACTTCATTTCCCGCTACCGCACAAATGGTGATGAATTTCTGAACAGAATAGCGACTACCGACAAGATTTGGGTAGTACATGTGCATGCTGAGACAAAACAACAGCCAAAGGCATGGGTCATACTGGTTCTCTAACCCCGCTCAGGAACGTCTGTTGAATATTGTCAGTGAGGAAGGTTATGGTCATTGTGTTTTGGGATGCTAATGAAATCTTGCTTGTCAAATTCATGAAAAGTTGCATGACAATCAATTTGGAGGCAAACTGTAACACTGAGAAAAACTGAAAGTTGAAATGGAACATGTTTCAACATTTTCCTGCAGCCCAGACCTGTTTCCTTCTGATTAACATCTGTTACCTAAAATGAAGAAGAAGTGACTTTGGTACAGCACTTCACTGAAGATAAGAAACTTGAAATTGCTATGACAAGTTGGTTGAAGTCAGGTTTGGTTTTGGTTGGTTGGTTGAGATTACGGCAAAGCACACTAGGGCTATCTGCCTAAGGGGACAGATGCCTTCGTGGAGGACTTTCTAAGGGAAACTGGCTCGTATACGCATCACACATGTGGTTGAAGTCAGAGGTAGCTGAGTTTTACGCAGAAGGAATAGGTATATTGATAAACCTCCATGATAACTGCTTGAATAAACATAGTGACAATGCTGAAAAAAGAGGACAGCTGTACCTTCAGATGTAAATAAAAAATATGTTGAATCTAGGCAAGTTTTTTACCTACAGTGAAATGAAGATTAGTTTCCAAATTACCTTTGTATATATACATACTTTCCATTAAAAAGTTTAAAACCTTTAGAAAAATACTAATGCAGTTTTAAACAAGTATAAATAATTACCTTTGTGAAGAACTGCATTTGCAGGTTTATTTCCAGCTAGAGATTCTTTAGACAGATGTTGATGTGATTCAGCTAAACATTCTAGCTCAGCAAACCTATAATAACAACCAGATGAATTAGAACACTATTTAATTTTAGAAACATAGTTTTGGTGCAAATATAAATTAATTCAAAAGACAAACAGAGAGCAAAAAATACTACACTGGCATTTACATATTAGATAACAGCACAGAAAATTTTCAATTCATTTTAAGAGAAGTGTAAAAGGTAATATATAAAATAACATTATACATTTGAGTTTGATATACTTCAAGTGTTCTACATAAGGTCAAAGCACTATTACCTGAAATAAAACCAAACACATATATATATATATATATATAACAGATATTGTAACTCAATGGACTGTGTTGTAATTAATTCTCCTGACCGGAAAATAGTCTAGATCAGACGGTTATCAACCGGTGGTACATGTATCACTGGTGGTATGCAAAGAAACAAGATATTTTTAACTATTAAATTCAAAAATTAAAACCTCAACATCCTGATTGAGTTTTTTGTCTACCACGCGTAAATTTATGCGATCTGAGCTTTGTTCGAGAGTGGTGGTGGTGGTAGTAGTACTTTGTAGTTGTGGTACTAGAGGTTTTCAATTTTTGTTTAGATGGTACGCAGTAGTCAAAAGGTTGAGAACCGCTGGTCTAGATCACAACCATGAATTCACTCAGGGTTGCCACTCAAACAGGAGAATGAAATTCCTGACTTTTCCAGGTATGTTTCGAGAAAATTCCAGTCTATCCGCATAATGCACGTTGGCTGTGCTAACAGATATATTAATTATGGTATTACTTGTATTGTGTAGCAAATTCACTTAATTATTCAATAAATCCCAGAGGACATTTATTCTTAATTATTCTTGGTACACTTTGTTTACTTTTCCACTTATGAAGCTTAATAAAATTTAAGATATATACATTGGATAACAATTGTACGTTTTATTTAATTATTACTCACGATCATCACCAGTTCAACACGAGGCTATTGTATGAGGTGTCTTCTTAAAAGGCACCTTAACACTTGAAAACAGAAATATAATTATAATAGGAGTTGTTTTCTCCACTGAAGATTGAGATTAGAATCTGCCCAATCTGGAATAAAATAAGGCTTTTTTTGCAGACATTCTGCAGCTAAACGAAGGAAAGAAATCTTTTTAATGATATTTTTTTAATAAATTGAGGTACTTTACATTTATTTCGCAGCATACATAAGAAAAAAATATGTGCATTAAATTTCGTGATGGTGTGTCATCATACTGCTAGAATTAATTTCAGGATTATGACAGAGAAAATTTCCTGAAATTTGGAAATGTTATTTACTAATAATAAATAAATTTAGAGGGAAGAAGCAACATTAAATGAAAAATAAAGATAATTACTTAAAAAATGAATTAGAATAATAAACAATATTTTAGCAAATATAATTATATTACATGGTTAGCCTAGATGACTGATTACTATTTTTTTATTTTACTGCAAAATGACAAGGTATTTATTAAAAAGAAAAGAAAAAAAAAAAAGGTTTAAAAAATTTTGTGGTAAAATCCTAGTATACGGTACGGCCTTTGCACGATTTTGAAAATTATCATTAAGAACAAAATGACCCGTTTACTGCTCATCATCATATCACCAAATCCCGCTGTACCATACATGGAGATTATTCTAACCAAAGAATGTCTATGTAAAGAAGAAAAGGTACACGTAAATGCTATTACGACGCTAGAAAGCAGAGGGAAAATTTGTCAAGGGATTTGGCAACGGAACCTGGCGGCCAGAACTTTCCTCTCCGCGATGTGTACAGGAAATTGAGAAACACGTGTTAAGAAGAAACGTTCTTTGACAAAAACGAAAACTACGAAAATCATTTTTAAATTATTGCGAAAAATCTAAGAAGAAACGTTTTTCAAAGAATGTTTTTTCTTGGATTTTTCGTAGTTTTTTTTTTCCCCTCTCTCAAAATAACTAATCCATGAAATAATTTACTTGCACCAAAAAATATTTTATTTTCCTTTAGAGTTTAAAGAAATTTTAAACGATTTTCATTTTATGAAATCTTGATAACGTGACCTTCGAACTTCGACGACAGATATATCGCGCATGCACAGCTGTTTCCCCCTATGATGGAACAGAGCCACCTTTGTTGCAGAGAAGTTTTCCTTCTTTATAATACATATTCTTTGATTCTAACCTTCATGGTACCATATACTAAGATTAAACCCATTATGTTTTATACGAGAACAGGTACTTTCTTTAGTTCATGCACTGCACACGTGATTCTCGAGGTTACTGGAAACCAAAAGTTGCAGGAAACTTGCTTTGCCTTTCTAAAAGACAATCAAATTGTAGCTGCGAACATTAGCTCTATGCCAGCTGCCCGAATGACACTCACGTGATGCACAATTCGCCAAAAAAGTTATTTCTTCCGACGTTGGCACAAAACTCGCCTTTTTGGCAGGATCGTTGTATGAAATTCCCCGACTTTTCCAGATTTTGACTAAAACACTTAAATTCCCTGACTTTTCCCTGAATTTTTTGGTCAATTTCCGAATTCCTTGACTTTTTCCGGTTTTCCAGGTAGCGTAGCAACCCTGTTATTGGTGGTCACCTTTGAAACATTATAGACAGCTGCATAAATCAGCCCAGTTCCAACCCAATTTTGAATACCACCTTCAGAACCCAGGAGTTTCAGGCCTCTCTTCCCTTACCACCCACCTCTTGAGCATATTTTCATCTTGACAGTGTTTAAAATGGCTCCCACTGCAGAAACACTTTACACTTACAAACATATTTAAATATATAAATTTGCCCAGTTCCATACCGACCACCCATCTCTTGAGGGTATTTTCATTTTACGAGTATTTTAAGTGGCACTTACAAACAACGCCTTCTCCAGAATCTGAACCAGAGCCCAATGCTATGGCAGATGGCTTCTCTTCCATCATGATAACTACAGAAACTTTAAATATCTAACTGTGCATATAAAACAAGTAAGATTTCTGAAATGCATATATTACACAGAGGAAATGCCTTATGTTTGGACAAACATATACATTAAGACACAATAACACGCCAAATAAATACTAATTCAGAAATCAAACAACAAAAATCAGCGTTATATTTACAAAGTTTTCACAGGACTAGTTTCGATGGTTTTACCGAACCACCATCTTCAGCTGCAAAACCGCAAATGAAATGATTTCATTTGCGGTTTTGCAGCTGAAGATGGTGGTTCGGTAAAACCATCGAAACTAGTCCTGTGAAAACTTTGTAAATATAATGCTGATTTTTGTTGTTTGGTTTCTGAATTAAACATATACATGTTTAAGAATGTGATAATTTTCTATACAAACACATGAAAGTTTTCAAAATATGAGGGAATGGAAAGAGATAACAAAATATAAGTACATGACAGAAGTCAGAACTATGAGATAAATCAATTTCTCTCTTTTATTTTCCTATGCCTTTTTTAAAATATACCACACAAAAATGGAAAAAATTGTAAAGCTGGTTAAATAACTTGTTATTTTACAGACATCCCATAATATGCATAAACAGTATTGAATACTAACCTTGCATTAAGAGCCATTGCTGGATGGTTGGGATCTTGAGTTAAGTTTAGATAAGCTGCTCTTCGCAGCTGTTCTTCTATTACCAGTGCCTGTTCCAGGAGCTATCAAGAATGCATAATATATAAATATATTTTTACAATATGACTAAAAGTAAATTAAATGTTAAGTGATCTATCAATAATAATAATACATTTCATGATTACAAATTGTTTAACTAGTTATGGTCAACAGGAATCTGCAATATTCGTCAGTTTAGAGTACAAGAAAAGTTGTGTTGTCTGGAATGGCAACATCAGAAAGAAAATAACATTTGTGATTCAAAAATTGAGACAGAGCAGGTTTTATCAGCAAACAGAAGTATTAGAGTAAGCACTGCTCACTCTAATACTTCTTATAATTGTAATTAATCTCTTATCATTTAAATTCCTTTATATATACATTAATAAAATATATTGTTTATTTCATGAGAAAGTTTAGATTAATGACTTTAGCTATTTGGAGTACATACCATCATCTAAGCTAGTCATAATAATGGAGAATAAAAAATATATATATTTCTGTTAGTTGTTGGTCAATAAAGAAGAAAGTTCTACTGAATCCTATTAGCATATTCAAAATAATATCAAAGTTACATCACATAATTGAAGGTCATTTCATCAAGAATGCAATAATGTTTTAATATAGTTCTCAAAATACTAAATGTAGCATCTAATACTACTAAATGTAGTAACAAACAAGGCTTACCTTAAACCGTCGTGCAAGAAACTTATTTTTTATTTCTAAGAAATTGCCTTTCCCTACATCCATTTTGAAAGGTTCATTTATAATACTAAAAGCAAAATCATTCTGTATATCTTGCCACCGACCATATCCATGTCTAAAATTTGGTTAAGGATAAACATGTTGAAATAATATCAAATAATAATTAGAAACATTATAAAAAATTGCAATTAAAATAAAGTCTCATTTATAAAAGCAAATTATACTCCAAATTAGCAATAAATTAGAGAACTTAATTTGAACTGAATGTATAAATAAAAATTCAGGCTCCTCTGTCTTCATCACTATCGTGAAGTTGAGTTCAAGGTAACTTTAGCAGTGGTCTAGACAAAAACATTTTGGTTGCTGATTTGGGGTCTCCTGTTTCAACAGTATAATTTATTTGAAGATAACTGTTCCACTCTTTAACAGTTTCATCCATCATATATAATCATCTTAAAAAATTTGCTCTAATATTACCTTCTTTAGCTATACTAAAAATTCTATATAGTTCTTGATAATACCATACCAATAAAAAATATCATACAGCCGTTGAAAATGCCACAACAGCAAATATACTGTATGGCTATTGAAAATGTCCCCACCATAAAAATGTAAATAAGTATTCTTAAAAAATAATGTTAGCATACATACTTCTCTGATTTTCCATGAACAAGTAGAACAATTTCTCTGATCAAACATGATAAAACTACTTATTAAATACCTGAATAATTTTATATGTTTACTAAAAAAATAATACAATAAATAAGAATATTATTATTTCTACTGCAAAGCAAATGAAAAAATATAGGAAATGAGCAGCTGAAAACCATTCAAAACATTAAGAAGGGTAAAAAACAGATACCAAACTTTGGAGAAAAGCTTATTTTTATAAAAGGAATTTATAACAGTATATAATTTATCATAATAAATATTACTTTCTAAATACTTTGAAATAACAATGAGGAGTTCAGAATGACATTAAACTAAAAAAAGTGCACAATCATTTATGATAATGCATAATTCACATTATTCTTAACTATACTATTTATATTTGAAAGGGGACTATATTCCTAAAGACTGAATAACAGAAATATTACTAAAGAAAAAGTAAAGAACAGCTCACCAACAGGTAAAGGAAAGAATGATAATTAAAACTATGTTAAATATGAGATGAGTAAAATACTTTCTGCAAGAAAATCAAGATCTCTCTTACCCTATAACTCTTAATTTGGTTTCTTTTTAAGAACGGAAACTTTTGTTTAATATATGATATTTAAAACAAACTTTTTACTACACTACAGGGTTCTTTTGTACTGTTTGAGTTTTGGAGGAAAATTCTCAATTTTTTTTAAAAATCTTTTTGAAAAAGTTTCTATTTTTTCTGACTTTCTAGCTAAATAAGAAAAAACCTGTTTCACTAAATATGTTAATAGTATAGTAACAATGCAGCACTGATGTTGGTTTTCTTCAAATGTATTAGTCACCATCTTTGAAATAGTCTATCCGTACTTTTCAGTGTTCCATTTCCATTATATATTTTTCTCGACTAATATAAAATTATATTGAATAGGTATTTGAATATTCTTAATGTTTCAACAATGCTCTGCAATTCTAAAAACTCACAGCTTTCCCTTTATTTCTTAAATTCTACAGATTTAGGAAGATAGTAACAAAGGCAAAACACAAAGGTAATAAATACAACAAAAGATACCCTATGCCTTGCAGGCATACATGATTGCAACATGGAAGCAATTATTTATTGATTAGTTATTATCTCATGGTGCTAACCAAACGCCTCAGTAGTGAATAAGATACAAATATCAAAAGTAAGTACTTCATTATATATAAAAAAAAAAAAAAAAAACTATATCTTTTCAAATTTTATGGGAAAGAAATTAAATTTTTCATTCACAGATCACATGCTGTCACAGTTTTATCAAATAAAGTATATGCTCGTTCTCTTAATGTAAAATAATACCTATACTACTATTACACAGAACCCTCTTAAAGATAACTACCTGTGTACTAGACAAGCATTTCTCAACTGCCAGTGCTAGACTAGTGTTTTTTAACACTATTTGCCAGTCCTTCTAAATTCAGAAGTTATTATAACAATATACCTACCACCATTTAAAAAAGAAAACTATTATAATCTGGCAGTTGTGTATGTTATCATGCATACTGTGCAATGCATTAGCTCAAGCTTTCTTAGAGTATCTGTTGTTGTCCATTTAATTTACATTTATTAGTATTAAGGGACCTATCGTTGTGCCCTGAACATGTATTTTCAGGTAACGAGTACTCATATTAAACAATACACATTAGTTTTCAGTTTATAATACTTCACAGATCATCGTCTAACTAAAAGAGATGTCTTTCAAAATGGTTTCAGAGGATCAAAGAAAGAAAACCTCACAGTGAGAGATCTGGATTGTAAGGTTAAGGTTCTCTTTAAAGTTATCTAACTTCTGCTTTTCCGGTCTCGCAACATGAAGGCATTACTGCTTAGATGACATCCTTTACAAAAGTTACCACAAAGGTTTCCATTAATTCCATGTCTCAGTTAAAGGACTAGCACTAGAAGTCACTTGCTGCCTTAATGGCAGAAGAAGAATGACTTCACATTATTTTGCATTGGATGCACATAGTAGCAGTGAGGCTAAGAATATGAGCATCATGTGTTCCATTTTCAGCTCTGACTTAATTTAATGCATGCATACTAATCGCATGTTTTCATCATAACCTTTGCAACTGGCTCAAAAAGCATATTGTATACACCAAGGATTCTTAACCATTGGTTGGACAGATCGACATTGGTTTACGGAAAAATGGCAGCCCTCGGAGATTTTTACTGGAATCTCAAAATTTACCTTGAATTTTTATTTCGAAAAACCGATTCTTGGAAAATTTTACCTGTCTGTGCAACATTTTTTTTCTTATTAACCCTTTAACTACAGGTAAAATTATACATAACTACACAACATAAAAATTAGCAAAAATTAAGATTTTGCAAAATTTCTTTCTTCATATTAGATTTAGCTTCAGAAAGATTGGAAGCATGATAAAAAGGGAAAGGGTAACATCATATCCCTAAACAATATAACAATTTACAGATATCTGCCTGAACTTATAATCCCATACACATACTTACACCACTAGCATATAAACTTAGGCTAAATACAATGTTCTTGTAAACTATAATGACAAAAAAAAAAAAAAAAAAAAAAAAAAAAAAAAAAAAGCAAATATCAAGAGTTTTTGGATTCTAAAACAATATCAAACACATAAACACACTTAGCACTCCGGACACCAAGTTGTCATACATTTGCAGTTTCATTCGGTTCTGGTGATGTGACTACAAATGTGGCATATTCTTTGGACCTTTCTTCTCCCAGCAGCGGGTGGAAAATTGTCCAAAAAATGTCTTTCGACAAGATTACTGGCAGCTGATTGCCAAGCAATTCTCCACTTTGTCTACCAGATCAAGCTGGAGTAAGAGCTCTGTGCTGTGACAAAATTTGTTGTTTACTGTTTCTAATAAATTCTTTCAATGACAAGTTGTTTTATTCCGAATCGATGTAATTTTGAAAGGATATATTGTTTGAATGATAACCTGCCCTGTTTTTACCAGAAATATATGAATTCAAAATAAAAATATCTAACAGCTTGGGGGGAAAAAAAAAAAAAAAACTTTTTATACCACTTCACACTTTTACGAACCCTTTCTACAAATGATAGCTGCATGTCAATTTTATCTTTAAGTCTCATATTTGTATTCTAGTACATAGTATGGTTTCATAATCCTTTCTGGGTTCTATGATTCACTTTTCCATTATCCACTAGTGTTCCTTTGTGAAATGTGGAAATAAAATGCACATCCTTTTTATCTTTACACTTTAGAGCCAAAATCTTCCACGTTTTCTTTAGCTTCGCATCTGAATGTTGTAAATTTTGGGAAATGTTTTTGGTTTTTCTTGACCATGCCGCATAAACCAATGCCATTTTCAACCAAATACACTGCCAACGCCAGGCTAGTGTAACAATTATCAATATATAGTAAAAGTCCCCCCCCCCGATAATTTTCTACAACCTTTTCACTATAGCGCCCACGATACCAAATGTTTCGTCTTGTGGTATATCTCTGACAGAACCTGAGTAAACCAAAATTTTCAAAATAATTCTGGTTTCAGAATCACAGAGTAAAAACAGTTTTAGTCAAAACTGATGTCATTTTGAAAGAATATATTGTTTGAATGATAACCTGCCCTGAAACAATATGAGATTCATCAATACATATTTTTTGAAATATTGAAAAATATGTAGAAAATTCGGCATTTAGATTTTAAAACATGTTTCGAATTTTCCACACCCTAATGTTTTCTGGTTGGTTGTCGTTATCTGCAAAATGTAAAAATCGCAAAACTTGTGCACATCTGTTGCAAGTCATAAATTTGTTACAAAAAATCGGTTCGAATCCTCATATTTTTTTATCAGTATTCGGATATGGTACTCTTCTTCACTTTAGGCATCAACAAACATAATGCTAAAAATTAACAAAACTCATCAGTTACTGTGTTTACCAACCATTTTGTTTTGGACCTTGTTGCATCGTTCTTGTCTCTTGTACAGAATACATAATATCTATTGGATTCATCTGCAATTATTTGTACTAGGCCCATATAAAAAAAAACTTTGTAAAATAATCATATTGCCACAGAAACATATCACTAACTCTGCACTGTCAAAATTATACGCTTCCAGTTAAAAGTAGTCACAGTCTCTAATGAAAACTTATATTTCCCTGGCAACTACTACTATTGCTGGATTCAATAGTAAATTCGATTACATCTTAGTCTATGTCACTATCTCTTATATTTTCAAAATCGCCGGATAATACGCTTCCACTGGTAATTATGCCATCGCTGTCGTTGTCGCTATCTTAAACTTCAAATCTTGCTCATTTGTTTGCAGACATTGATGATTGATTCATGACAGTTATATAAAACCACACTATTCCAGAAAAACAAAAATGCACACAAGATGTCGATGCAGCAACCTTAAAAATACAAAATCTCAGAAATGTATTATTGGGGTTTACAGAGTCTAGCAGCACTTATGCAAGGTATCGATGGGCATTAACCAAGCTTATTTCAAAAGAATTAAAACACACACAAATCTTAATCAGGGTTCATAGCCACATTTTAGTTAAAAAAATAAGCAGGTTTACAGAGTCTAGCAGCACTTATGCGAGGTATCGATGGGCATTAACCAAGCTTATTTCAAAAGAATTAAAAAGCACACAAATCTTAATCAGGGTTCATAGCCACATTTTAGTTAAAAAAATAAGCAGGTTTACAGAGTCTAGCAGCACTTATGCGAGGTATCGATGGGCATTAACCAAGCTTATTTCAAAAGAATTAAAACGCACACAAATCTTAATCAGGGTTCATAGCCACATTTTAGTTAAAAAAATAAGCACCTATAAGCACTTTTCAAGCACATTTTAAGAAAAAAAATAAGCACCCGTCTAATGACATTATACACAACTGCATAACCTTAAAAATTAGACTTGTAATTTAAAATATGAGAAATGCAGTATTTATTAAGAGAAATATTTAAATAATTTAAATCTAAATTCTGAATATTTTCTAAATTTTCATTGTATATCAGTTTTTCCTTAACAGATATTGCAAGCAAAGTAATTTAAGTAAAAAAGAGGAACATTTCTGAAATCAGAAGACAGAAATTTGCTTCATGCAGTCATCCTTTAACAGTAAAAGCTTAACTAAGCCACACACTTGGAAACTGGTGAATATTCGGACAGTTAAGCGTAACTTGAAAAAGAGGAGCGGAGGGGGGGGGGGTTGACTGTAGCCACTTTTTAGATTTTTCCGCTAAATAAATGCTTTTGACATTTCGATATGTGCATCATATAAAAATAAACCAATGGAACTGAAAAATATTCTGCTTAGTAAGCACAGTAAAACTCTTTTAAGTGTTCATAAACAAATCTCGGATAGAACATCAAAATTAATTATCTCTGCAAAATATCGCAAACATTATTACGCAATACGTGTGCCATAATTCTTCCCTATGTGATATTACGCAAAGAACTAAATACGAGTAATTGGGGTGTTTTTCATTCTAATTTTCAACAGACGGCGTTAAATTTCCGCAATAGAATCATTCTTCGCTTGGGTTGGTAGACCGCAGAACTTTTAGTCCTATTCAATCCAGATTGGAAAGTGACAAAAAAAAAAAAAGTCCGTTGCTTGTTTTGCAGCGAACTTGTAACAGTTTCAATATTCAAGATTTTGCGGAGAAAGGGGAGAACCTCCCAATCTTCGTACTATATAATGTATTGGCCAAAAAAATGAAATTATTTTGACTATTCGATTACTTTCCCTTTATTTAAGCCATTCCGAGTATTATTCCTAAAAAGCTAATCTGTGTAAAACACAACCATACTATACTTCAGCAGTTACTGCAACTATGTTATTATAAACATTCATACATATACTCATAATATAAGCATAATGATCATAATAAACACAAATATGAACTGACCAAGCGGAACGAGAATGCAAATTATTAAGATCTGGATAGAAATTCAAACGGTGGTGAAGGTGGGAAGAAAAGAATGCCGAATGTACTGAAATTTCTACTGCTTTTGCAATTCTTTGACCAATAGAACGATGGGCACCTGTCTGTACTCTTCGTGCACACCAAAGGTTATGTTAATGCACCAAAGGTTATGCAGAGAAAGGGGGAAAAGCTATTTCCAGGAGTATGATTCACCATCTGACATTCCATATTAGGAAGAAAAGTTGTTTATTTAGTTTCGGCTTTGGTACAGGGAAAAATAGCGCGTTCATTAAAAAAAAAAGCACTAAAAGCAAAAAATAACACTAAAAACAAAAAAATAAGGGCTTTAAAGAAAAAGTAAGCACCTATAAGGGCCTTTACATTTTATTTTCAAATATAAGGACTTATAAGCACTTATAAGGACCGCTACGAACCCTGTTAATGCAGCAACCTTATTATAGTTCAACCACCTCATCCACGACCATGAACGCAAGCACACATGCACCATTCAGACCGAATTATTCTCAAAATATAGTGGAAGGATGTGGACTTTCTATTTTGAGAATAATTTGGATGACTCTAGCATATAAATTTACCAGAAGAGAAGACTTTCACATAGCAGCAAGTAATAATGTTCCTTTTGGACGAGTCTATGCGTTTTGGCAGAATGCCAGCCAAGATGCATTTGAGGCAGCTGAACTATAGAACTGTTATAAATCTCCAAAACATATTACTGGGGATTGACACAGTCCAGCCACACTTTGGGAGTCGCTGGACATAAACTACCAGACACCCCAAGAGAATTTCATTTTTTATTTTGTTGATGATGTAAAAATACAAATAGATACAATGCTTACATTGTAATATTTATTATAAAAATTGTAAAGCAAAACAAAATTTACTATTTTTTCGGACTATTTACAGTGTTGTATAATTAGTTATTTATTATGTTATAATTAGCTTGCTTTTCAGTCAATTTGGTATTTATAAATAAGAATAATAAATTATTGTTGTTTTATAATCACTCACTGATGACGAAATGTCGCTCGACAAAAGCTTTAAAACAGTAAAACACCTATTGACGACTAGTGGAATATGCGGCAGACTAGATAAATCGCTTATTGACGACTGCTGTAGTTAAAGCTTCTTTTTTCTTTTTGAAATTTAATGCCATCATTTTAAATATAGAATCTATAATTTTGTCTTTGAAGATTGGCAACATTGGAGTGCGATCACATTTGTCGTGTTACAGCCATTGTTCCACGTACCACAAAAAGTTGAGAAATGCTGTTCTAGATGACTTTAGTCTCTGTAGAAATGGTCATTTAGAGATCTGTACGTAATACTAAAATTTATTTTTGTCCTCAAATACTTGTCGCTTTTGAAGGTGGCTATATTAGGGAGTCAGCTGCTACAAGTGGGTTCATTACATTTAAATAATAATAATAATAATAATAATAATAATAAAGGGTGCATTTGTACAGTGTTAAACGAATTTTCTCAAAAAGCAATTTTCCATTTTAGATTATAATCACAACTATAAAGGATACTTTACTATCCCTGCCAGCAACCAATAATCATGACGCCTATGCCAAATTTCATATTCTCTGCCAGGAACAGCTGCTCGTTCTTCATTTTGCCACAATGTGTGAAGCTCGGTAAAACCACCATCAGCAATATTGAACATAAATTTTCTCTTTCCCTTTGAATCACCATCTTCTTTAACATCACCATCTTTAGTAGGTTTCTCTTCATCCCTTATCTCTATAACTTCAGCTTTGTTATCTACAAAACAACAGAAATTTTGATTACTTAATAGAAATCAGTGACAATAATTTGTATTCAGAATCAAACTCGAATATTATAAATTAAAATTACATTACTAAAACACAAATTTTACAAGAAAATTTCAAGTATGATACTATTTATAAAACAAACTATAGTATTTTTAACCCCCCAAAGAAAAGGAATAAAAATATCTTATTTTGGCATAATTCATATTAATTTTATACAAGCAAACTTACCATTATTTTTCTCCTTATTTTCATGGGATTTATCTTTATTTTCTTTATCCGCATCCTTATCTTCATCTTCAAATGTGTCTGTCTTCTCTTCTAAAAATATAAATTGGGGGGATCATTCTAGACTTTGTAATTAAAATAATAAAAACTTCCGAAAATTTAAGACTTTTTGCTTTTACACTTCAAAATATACCTTTTTTTACTACTGATGAATCAACTTCCATAACTTCATCTTTATCATCACTTTTTTCTTCATTCTTCTTTTCATCGACTATTTCTTTCTTTTCTTCTTTCATAACCACTTCAGCGTTCTCTTTTGGCTCCTGCAGTGGGAAAAAAAATGTAATTTTTTTTTTTTTTTTTTTTTTTTTTTTAAATTTAACCAATATATTCCCTCCCTCAAAAAAAAAAAAAAAAAAAAAAAAAAAAAAAAAACTTTGTTAAAAAAAACCCTAATGCATGAAATTAAACAGAAATAAAAGTCTATGGTAATATTTGAAGAGGTTATTAAAAAATTAATTTCACTAATGAAATAAAAAAATTGGACAGTGGTGGAATAAATGATGTTACTGTCACTATAAATAAAAATTCATTATTATGTATAAATACAGTTGCCAGAAATTTTAGTAATGTGTTTCTTAATCACTACTTCAAAGACTAAGTACACAGTTTTTATATTTAAGATTAAGTAATCAATAAGCAAAAGGGACGTTAAAATGATAATTATGAGTACAATATTAAGTCTAAAATCTAAATTTCCATGCAGGCCTCTGGATATCAGAACAGTTTTTTCCCCCCTTACAATGTCTAGTGTCTAGAAATGAAGAATAAGATACTAAAATAATAATAATAATAATAATAATAATAATAAATAAAAAAAAACTTAGAGCAGTTGTTTACCCAACCAAAGAACCAAGATTATTGTGTCACTTTCAAACAGCTACTGGCCTGGCTAGGAAATCACATTTTGGCTAATGACACTGACATTTACCCATAACCACACTTTCGTCTCTGAGTGGCTATGTATATGTGGGGAAGGGTAGCATTTTTCTATCTGACATAAACAATTATTAATAAACATTGTCTGGAATGGGATGCTACTCTATACTGGTTTTCTTTTGTTGGTATGGCAGTAGGAAGAGAGAAAGAATTAGATTTCAAGGAAGTTCAGATGACATAGCAAACTTTGTTCTTCTTTAATTTAATATCTAGATATTTTTTGGCTATTATTATTCCAGCTATTTTATCAAATTTAAGATCAATCAGCAAACAGTGGAATTGTTATAGAAAATGGATAACGGCATATCCATCTCAAAATTAAGAGAAGGGTATGGGCACTGAAAACACAACAGTACATACCAGACGTGGTCAAACTTTATGTCAGTAAAAGCCGCATGTTAGAATTCAGGAAAGTGCAAAAGCTGCAGGTAGATTCTCCAAAGCCACAAGTCCATATTTTACATCATTCAGATCATTCTTCTCCTACCTCAAAATTATCCCATAATTTCCCTGCATACTTCCCGGCAAGTATGACATATAACTACTGTCCTCAAATGTTATGAATTCCTGAATTTTTTTTTTAAGGTAATGTTGTCTTCTAAGCTGCGAATGTCATCAGATTTATTACAAATTCCCAAAATTTTAAACTGATATAAATTTCTCATCAAATTGGATGTCGCACCAACTAATAAATTATTTTTGACTTGTATCAAATTATGTATGATAGTAAATGTTTTTGATGCATTGCATGCATTTTCTGTTCCACTCATAGACCACCTTAATTTAGGTTCTAATGCTACTAATGATTCAGAAATACAGTAGACCCTTCGTGTAAAGCAACCATCTATCCATCTATTCATAAAGCATCCATAAGAAAATCTAACCTTTCAGAAATATAAAGATTTTTACAAAATTGTTTGATAAAATCAGTACAATATTTTCATTTTTTTAAACATTTTTGAATAACATTATTAAGTTTCTTAACTAACATAAAATGAAACAAAATAATTACTTTTGGATAATATTGATCAGTTTAAGTTTACTATACTTCATTTATATCTATAATTTGTATATGTTTGTATATATTATATCATATTTTATTACACTATTGTAATTTTATTTAAATATGAGGCAAACCACTCACCTGCAGACGCAACATGCAGCATGCAAGCTGCTGTGCTATGGCCACCCCTCGTACATAACATTAGGGGGAAAGAAATTTTTAGTGGATTCTGGCACTTTAGTCACAATGGATCACAGACAAATCATTTGTTATGTTAAAAGTGATGATCATGAATGACTTTTTAAAAGGGATGTTTCATTACTTGATAAAAAAATATTTCATATTTTTAATTTTATAATTTTTGTATCATCTTATTAGATTTAAACAGATGATTTAAAATCTGAAAAATTCTGAAATTTAAAATTGAAATTCCAACAATTCAGTTAGGTTATTTGAATATGGCAAAATCATTAAAGACTACCTGCTTAACCCTCTCGGCGTTATGGATGGAAAATTCTCTATAGTAGTTTTTGCAATCATTACACATGAAAAGTTCTGCCAGTTTTTAAAGTATCCAATTTCCGTTTGGATGTACTGAAAGAAAGGCAATCAAGGTATAAAATGAGAGAATTATTTTTTAATTATAATCAACAAAATACCATTTTTATTCATGAGATTTTGAGGAAATTGAAATTTCAGGGCTAAACCCATAATACTCTGAAGGTTCAGAAAACGGATGATTTCATTGAGAACTTTTTCGGGAAAAATGGGCTTATATTCACATTACGTGTGCGGAAAACCACAAAAACAATAATGTAGCCAGCTCCTTTGTCTGGGCTCGAATCCAAACCAGGTCAAATTATCAGTATTCAGCTGCCTTAAACCACCTGGTCACGAGTGGGAACTTGACAATTTTCCAAATGTATTGCGTATATATAAACAACAATGTTTTATACATACTTCAGGAACCTCTGCTTTCTCTTTGTTTTCAGTTTCTTCTTTCACTTCTTCAGCTACAGAAGAAGGGGCTGGTGTTGAAGCAGGGGTTGGAGCTGGTGTTGATTCCTTGCTATCACTTGGAGTGGTGCCACTAACAGGAACTGTAGCAGCCTGTGGAATGTCAGGCATTTTGTTTGGAAGTTCCCCAGGTGGTATGCTATAAAGACCATTGATGTGCTCAAATTCTTGAACCTGAGGAAAGGAAAAAATACATTATTAATCTTATAAAGGTAAAAACTACAAATCATCAAAATTGAGTTAACACTTAAGTTTCCTGAGATACATGTCACTGCTTACTAACAGTAGTCAACAGTGGTCAAAAATTAATGTCAGAATACTGACTCAAAAGCAGATTAATGATCTGATGAAAAATTAGTACAAGTTTTACTTTTAATCTAGTACTTTTTAAGTTCTGGAACTTTCATATTTCAGAGCAAGTTTTGAATCTGCCAAAACAGTGACTGTTAACAGCATTTGATAGTGAAGAATACTTAGAAATTTAAACAATAGTGCAGTAATAAGAAATTATATGTATCATTACCTACATTTAAACAAACTGAGTTTAAGAATATGCAGATAAGGGAATATTTCTCCAGATATTTTAACCAATCTATTGGATTCTCAAAGAGAAGAATTTTAAGTTTTTTAACTGAATATGAAAATTAGAAAAATCTAGAAGTAGAAAATCTATTTAGAATAATAAAACTTTCTAACTTAGTATGTTAACTTATACTGAACAGCCAAAACATTATAACCCCCTAGTCAGTAACGTGCTGCACGACTAATAATGAAGTTGTCTTGTCTATAACCTTTTCCTGAACAGAATATTTTCAATACACTTTTTCTTCAATAACATCTAGAGTTTCTTAGCATCCAAATACTGGCTAATACCATACCATTAGATGTTTTGAAATACTTTTTTAACTAAAAATGTTATGCTGATCAAAATAAACTAGAATTTGAACAAACTGTGTCTTGGCTGTAAGATGGGTGAGACAGGTACTCTTAATGCAAATTGTAGTACTTTAGGTTGTGTGTTTCATGACACATAAAGAATTCTTTTTCTCCTACCCACTGCTGGAAAAATCATACTCTTTGCTTCCCCCCTCAAAGTACATTATTAAGTTTTTCAACCTTGTTTATAAACCTAAGTTCTTGTGATTTCATCCTATTTCTCACACAGATTTTCTTTAAAATTGCATCCAATATATAGTGGTCTTCTGGATACTGGCATGCCCTATAAGGTGATATCATAGCTTCATAATGCATACTTGCCAACCTATGACACTCAAAAATCAGGAGATTTTTCACAATGTTAAAAAGACTTTTTAAATGATAAAAATATAGTTTTTAATAATGAATTAACTTTAAATAGTTACTAAGTCTTAAATGCAAGCAAAACAAAAATACCTTAAACATAAAAAACATTTTTATTACTTTCATCGTTAAAAAAAAAAAAAAAAAAAAAAAAAAAAAAAAAAAAAAAAAAAAAAGGCACTTTAATCAGTTTTCATACAAATGTTATGGACAGTGACAGATTTTGCTCTCGTTAAGAAAGAACTTCATAATTTTGTTCATAGCAATTGCCACGTAGGCCTGCTTTCGCTAATAAAAGTTTTTCTAATGTGTCATCACTAATATTAGATCTAAATTTAGTCCTTGTTTTCGCAACAATACTGAAAATCCTCTCACACTCTGCATTACTATGGGGATCTGTCAAGATGGTCAAGATGGACAAGATGAACGAAATAGCGAAAGAACATCCAAAGAACGGCCAATGGCCTTGAGCTTGCTTTGTGCTCATTGGCTAATATATGTCAGATTACATGCAGTGGAGCTCGTGCCCATTGGACAACTGGCGAACGAAGTTTCTGGATACGTATGCTGTCGATCACAAAGCAGAAATTCTCATCTGATTCGCAAGGTTTCATTTTAGATATAATCTAGAGAAAATTCAGTTGCTTTCAGACGTCCAAAATCACTTTTTTTTTTTTTTTTTTTTTTTTTTTTTTGTTTCATATAACGAAGTATTAAGCCAAGTTCCATAAAAATCGTGAGAAATATTAAGAATAAGAAAAAGTCGGGAGAAATATATTGTAAATCGGGTTGGCGGGAGAGCGGTCGAAAATCGGGAGTCTCCCGCCTAAATCGGGAGAGTTGGCAACTCTGATAATGTTCTAGCCAACTTCTTTCATGCCTTCACATTTGTTGCTTTGGATGAGTTTCAATAATGCCACTACAATCTGCCAGTTCTCCTCAACAAAATTCATACAGTATCTATATCTTACACACTCTTTACTTGGTATACTGTACCACTATCAAAGACCACTGATCTAAACTATGAATTTAATAATCTCTAATTACAATATGCTTAAAACCATTAACTTTTCCCCCTAGCAACTCCTCAGTAGAAAACGTTGTTAGGGGAGGGGGGAAAAATACTTCTGGCTGACTTTTAGTTATTATGACTTTTTAGTTTTTTGAATGCAAATTAATGTATTACATTTATTATTCAACAGTCTGTAATTGCTATACAAGTATTTTATGAAATAAATACTACGCGAGACCATGCACTTATTAAAGAAAACTTTATTATTAAATAAATATATATCTATCCATATATACATATATATGCTTGTAAAATAATCTAGAGATGATTTTATTCAAAGCAAATACTAACTTTTTTCCTTATCAAGGACATAACTCCAATCCTTGTTAACACATGTTGTCGAGAAAGTCCTTCTCTGGGCACGCCATCGGCAAATGTCTCCGAATTATCAGCACCAGGTTCACAAAGGTGGCGCATAAATAGAGAAACGTAGGCCTTGAAATTTTTTTCAGACTTGCCTCTCAGATCACGCACCAACCTTAAAAAAGTAATCATAATTATTGCAGAATAATGTTATAAAGTATTATTATATTATTACTCTGATTTTTGTTAACTATTTTTAAGTGTTATACTAAATCGGTATCAATATAAAATCAAAATACATTTTAATTCTACTTTTTAAGAATAAAAATCCTCAAAATGTAATAAATTCATGAAATCTAAAAAATTTATGCAACATCTTGATCACTGAGAATTCAATTAAATATTCAGGATACACCAATTATGATAGGAAAATCACTTTTATTCAGAATTTTATTATAAAATTTAACCAAACAAAATAATCTTTAAAAAAAAATAAATAATTCTGTAACACATAAATAAAGTAAAAAGGTGCTAACTAAAACTATGCATAAAAGATTATTTAAAAACTAATTTAATTTTAAGCTTGAAGTAAAAAATATTTGCATGTTTAAATTCTCATTAGAACTTACCATTGTGAATTAAATGCATCTTGAGGTGGCATGCCATAGCGCATGATTGCATTCAAGAAAGCTTTTCTCTGTCTGGCATTGAATCCAAGCACCTGAGAAGAAAAGATCCAAAGCTTTACAACATGTCAAATAAAACACATATTATAAACTTGCGAGTACGTATATCCAGTAAATTCAATAACACCATCTTATTTAACGTGTAAACTATTTTGAAGTTCATGTACTCAGTTAACTCAGTTCCTGTTATAATGTACATTATTAACTAGTTTGAAGGACTAAATAATTTTTCCTAATGACTGTCTCTCACACAGAATGTCTCAAAAATTAAATTTATTTTGAAAAATAACGAATATTAGAAAGAGAGGACCAGTCATACACATGAAGCACATGTTTACTCTAAACTTATTGCTATTAAGAATCCTGCAATTTATGCATTAGTTTCCACATTATGACTGCCGTGTCTCAACAGGCATCAAAGCAATAAACTGCTTCCATAAATATAATTTCCTTCATTTGAAATACTTTTCTTCCCTTCTTGAATTGCATTACTTACATGATTAAGAAGCTAAATATTTTACCTTAATAAATCCCCATATATATATCTTAATCTCAGAAAAAAAAAATCAAATAGTTCTGTTACACCAAGAATGTGCTGCCCATGGTTATATCACCAGTCCAGTTTCTAATTTGTTTTTATCACTAATTTAACAGCTAAAAAAGAATCTATTAGGATAATCAGACATAGCTATTACAACAGATGATACTTTTCTATTTATATTTTTTGAAATCCAACTGTTAATTAAAAAATGTCAATATTAATCATCAATTTTTCATTATATAATATACAGAACAGCTTTATGTAAAAACTCTACAATACATAAATAAATGTGGTAGGTGATTAATGTTTCACATGATAATTTGACATCCAGATTATTATTTAATGTTCATAATAAAATTTTACATTCAGATGCAGAAATTAGATATATACACAAAATGATCCAGGAAAGTATGTTATGGGTTACATCGGTTTCTAATGTATATCTAAAACCTATTTAAAATTAATGCATAAGATTTATTACTGTCTCTTTTAAACTTTATTGGGCAAATGATATAACATATAATTAACAACATTTTACACATGAAAAAATATCTGCATTTTAAAATGCTTTCTTAAAAAAAAAATTCTCTAAGGAAAAAATTATTATTTTGAATCTAATGGTAAAAATAAATTGTTCAGCTTAAATTTTTTCTTTTCCTTTAATTACAATGATATGTTTTTCCTTAATATAGTTCAGCACAAATATATATAGTTCAGCACTATAATTCCTTAATATAGTAGTTCAGCACAAAATATAACATCTACACTTGTAACTGAAATAATAATTTATTACCTCTTATAAAAATCTGCATCAAGATAATTGAATTAATCTATTTATATATCTCAAATCACACATGTTATATTAAACAAATTTTTACTCATTGATATATTGCTTTATAACACTGAGATTTCTTTAACAAAAGTTAAAAGATCATTGCATTCAATTCATTTAATTTTTTTCAATGAAACAAACATATTTCTGTATATTCAATGTGTTAAACTATATGTAATCTTTCCATTAATGTTATTTTAGATGAATTTCTTAATTCTAAATTTTAAGAGAAAATTTCTTATCATACAAAAAGCTAAGTACCCCACAGCAGGATTGCATAAAATAACTTTACATTAAACATAGGCATTAGGAAAGACACATTTTGCGTTATGTATAAAATTATTTTTGAAAGAACATACTTCAATGTTTCCACCAACTCGTGCCAATAGAGGTGGCAATGGCTTATCTCTCTCATTTTGACCTAGTCTACCCTTGCGACCCCTAAATCCTTTCTCTAAAATAAACAAATATAAACAGTGTTGTTAAAAACATAAAAACTAAGTAAATTACTGTTTGACATTTTATGCACTAATTCTATGATTTTTTAGTTTAAAAAATTACACTGCGAACATTTCCCCATCTCCACCAAAACATTTCTAAACATACATAATTTTAATTTAAACTCACATAATTCTTTACATGAATAATTAAAATTTTTAATTTAGTTAATAACAGTCATCATTAAATCAACATTAAAAAAAAGATTCAGTCTCTTTGCTACTTCATGAAATCACAAAAATATCACTTTGTATTAACTAAACCCTTAATAATTTTAGAAGTTTAACTATTGAATCTAACTATATTATCTTAATGTTTTGCAATATGACAACTTCAAATCACTAGACTTGCACGGCATTACAATAAAAATAAATGGAAACAAAAGAAGTTTTAAGCAAGAGTCACTCAAAATTTATGTTCAATATTTTAAAAAAAAGTTTAAAATTTACATATGATAGTCATTGTTATCTCACTTTACAAAACAACCCATCTGAAAAGTTTATAATAAGTTAAAATTGTTATTACCAAAAATGATTAGTCTTTATAATAAAGGAATATAAACATAACATTTGAAAATAAGTTATAATTGTATCCATCAATTAGCAGCATTATGCAACAATTCTGCCAGGCGATAGCTCTAAATAACTCTCAATGTCCACCTCCTTATGAAAATAAGTCTATAGTAATAGCAATAAGATGTACATCATAGCAGCACAGAAAACTAACATTTTACCATCCAAGATTAAAATACAAGAAATATTTCAGTTTATGTGGGCAAACGTAAACTGAACAAGCAAACAAAAGTGTATACAGATTCTTCTTGAAATTTTAGAGTAATGGAGCAAAAGAAATATTGTCCAGCCACAATCAAATTATTCATCTGTCTTACAAAGAGCACAGACTTGGCTGATGCTGACTGGAAAAAAAAAAAAAAAAAAAAAAAAAAAAAAAAAAAGATGATCAACATTGATAAAGCATCATAGTGTGTTGTTGGTTGATGAAATTGACAGTCTACGAAACTGCAAAGGTGTTAGGTAATTGGGCAAAAAATGATTTGCCAGCAATACGAGGGAGCTAAAACAAGCGTTATGACCAAAGAAGAGATTTCTTCATTGGGGTAACAAGCATTACAGTTTAACTTTCAGATAAGCATCTATAAAGACTGGGGGATTATGTTGAAAAAATGATATATTGCATTTGTATGATACAATATTTCACAGCAACATTTAGTTAAATTTTTTTGACCTACAATAGCTACAGACTTTTTTCTCCAATGCTTCTCATATATCATAGCATTCCTTTATTACATGCACTAGTAATACCTCACATGAATAAAAAATTTCTTTCTCTATTCATACCTTCATTTTTCTCTTCAAAGTCATCGTCATCTTCATTGTCATCTGAAAGCAAATGCAGATACTCCAGTTTTAATACACAATCATAATTTACAAATTCTAAAAAAATTCTTTAAACATATACAATCATAATTTACAAATTATAAAAAAACTTCTTTAAACATATAACGACACAGAATAAAAATTGATTAATTTTTCTCACCGGATGGAACCGAGAAGTCAGAATTGTAGTCAGACAGATTATCTTGCCAGGTTGAATCATCTTGTGGACCCATAGCATCATTGTAATTTACTTGTTTGCGAACTCTTTTCCCTTTGCCCAATGTTCGAGCCATGTCTTCTTGCTGTTGTTCATAATGGTGCCGTAGCAATTTCTCCCAGTAAGCTGGGTCAGCAGACTCAACTTCTTGCTTCAAAATTTCTGTTTCAGGCTCCTATAAAGCGAAACAAATAATATATACACTATATAACTTTATTCAGTACATAATCAAAAAGCATCATATATCACAAATAGATCAGAAGACAACAGATTTTTCTTACAACATTTTTGTACACATAAAAATTAATAAATTACTTGAATAACAGTTTTTAACAGATATGTGGTAAATCTAATTTCTGAATTTAAAAAAAAAAAAGACATCCTAAGAGAAACTATTTTACAAGAAAATATAAGCAGTCCCATTATAGAAACACATATAAATAAAACTAACTTCTTCAGCTTCTTTAGTCACATATGCTGCGACTTTGAATGAGCTAAGATAATCATTTGCCCAAAGTTCTTTCTGTTCAATGCCTTCTTGCGTCCGATCAAGGAGTTCGTCAATAGCTTTGGTATCATAATGGATAGTGTCCTCTGAAAATAAATGTAAAAAGTTACTTTTACGCATAAAAATTATTTTTAAACTGCTGCAAGACTAGGAGAAATGGGACAAAATTAAGAGTACCTTTGCCTTCATCATCTTTAAACAGTTCTTCTGTTCCAAATCGCAAAATATCATCAAGCTCTTGTTTAGACATTGTATTGGAACGACTACCTAAGCCAGGTCTTACAACCAAATGTGTAAGCATCATTTTTTTCTTCGCAACCTGAAATTATCATTTAACATGATATGCTTTTCCCTATATTTAAGAATATATTTTCAATAAAATAACTAATTCCAGTTATCATTTTAAAAGTCACAACATTGCAATACTATAATATAATTCATCATTAAACAGATGACATTATATTTTTTATTTAGCAAATACAACTTGAACATTATATATGCTAATAAGCTGCATAAAAGCTTTGACTACCCATGAATGTTTATTTTGTATTAAACAGTAAGTTGTTCATTAGAAACACCACTCACCATTTGCTCCAATAATTGCCTGCTAACATTCAAGGAACAAATTAAATCTACACTCCCTACTAACTTTTTCGGGAGATGCTGTCAAATATTTTTTAATTCTATGAATAATAATTTAAAAAGCAATTTCTAAATTTTCTTATATTTGCTCTTTTTTTCCAATACAGTATTAACATATTTTAATTCTTTTCGTTTAAAAACTTCAATTCCCTACTATCTAAAATATTTTCCAACATGTCACATTTAAGCATTCAATAAGCAACACATTTTTGGACAGAGGAGAGGAGGAAAATCTGGGAAAAAGTGATATAAAATTAAAATGACAACTTTATTATGAATATTTATAAATGAAAATACCACTAAAACATTAAATAGTATATATTAATTTTATCTATTGTTATTAACTTTTACATTACAAGATTTTAAAATGAGAGGGCAAAAGAATTTATAGTATTTATTAATGGTAAATAAAAATTGATTTGTGCTAAGAGGTTTTTATATAACAATGAAATCTGCCTTTAAAAAAAATCACAGTAAACTTTCATGCTTTTGCATATAGCAATTTAAATGAACAATATTTAAACTAAAACATTTCATTCAGAGAAAAATTAATGAATATACCTGTGTTATTCTTTCTTCTACTGATGCTCTTGTTACAAATCTATATATCATAACTTTGTTAGATTGCCCTATCCTATGAGCTCGGCTAAAAGCCTACATAAAATAAAATTCCAACATATAATAAAAATGTTATTGAGATATTATATATAAAAGTTAAATCAATAAACTTTGTACATTACTTACTTGTATGTCATTATGAGGATTCCAATCAGAGTCATAAATTACTACTGTATCTGCTGTAGCTAAATTAATGCCTAAACCTCCAGCTCGTGTAGACAACAAGAAAGCAAACTGAGGAGCACCAGGAGCTGGGGGGAAAAATTTCTAATGTTTATTGTTTCTTTCATATTCATTCAAAATAAATATAATTTCAGCACATTATTTATACAAAGAATGAATTAAATTCTCATTCAATCCTCCACCCCAAAACTTTCAGCAAGGTTTTTTTTAAATGTTACAGAATTTTGCTACTGAAATTATATACTCAAGCATATTTACTAGAAATGTTTTGTCATAACACATTTTAATAATGTTTTACAACCATAATTGCTGCAAAAAGACAAAAACTCAAAACTTTCTATGTCAAGATTAACTTAAAAAAAAAAAAAAGGGGGGCTAGCTTTGTTATGGTGCATGGAACCTGCATTTGGACTTTTTACATAACAGCTGCCAATGCTATTTTCTCTCTGATACAAGGTAAGGCGTAACAAACAAGACTGATCAATGCTTCCTCTGTTGTCTTAAGAATGACAGAATTCATTGTATTACATACATCTAAATGTACTTGAAGAGATAAAAACAAAATATTTCAGGAAAACGATAAGACCAGCAAGTGAATTCTCCAGACAAAAAGCTGACACCAGCAACTTCTGCATGCAAAGATATGAAAATGCACAGCTGATTTCAAACTACAAGCCTTTTGGATTCTTTAAGAAATTCATGGAAGAATGGCAAATGGTTTCATTCAGAGGAATTAGGAGCCCTCCATACAATAAAACAGAGCTGTAATGCTTAAAACAAGAGCACAGAGGAATGCATTTATTAAGTTGTTTTAATACTGGTAAAAACAAATTTTAATATTCTTTCCAGTTCATGAATTACATGACTGAACTTCAGTTTTAATCATACAAAGACATACATACAACAAAAACAGAAGATCTGAATTTAAAATAATTACAATAATTAGTTACTTTGATTTAATATGTAATATTAATTTAAAATATTTAATTCCACAATGCACTGCTATTGATACTTCACAAAGATTTAAAAATTTATTACATACCATTAAAACGATCTATTGCTTCTTGTCGTTGGCTTCCTGTAATGCCACCATCAATTCTTTCATACTTATAATGCTCTGCTTCAAGAAAATCCTCCAAAATATCTAACATTTTTGTCATCTGTAAGGAGAGAAAAAAAATTCTTTTAGATTTTTAATATAAAACCTTATCTTATTCCCAGAAGAATGGAATGGAAAACATTATACTAAAATATCTACAATCATCTCGATAAAATAATAAATATATATTCTTTTATTGGTATTTTGCTGCTAAAAGATCTGAAATTTAAAACTTAACCATGTTATCTATAAATAATTTTGTATATATTAATGCAGCCTTACTCTCGCATATTAACAATATAATTTATGGTATAATTATGATACATTATTTTAGTGTACGTAGTAAGATAACTGTTGCATGTGAATGTATTAAATTCATATAGCATTAATATTCATAATTTAAATAAGTAAAAATACCAAGATGGTAATCCTAGCAAAAATGATACATGAAAATGTCATACCACAGGACATTTATTTAAAAATTTTATAAACCAAATTTATAACTCTTATCATAGGAGATTTAAGAATATACAAACTTTTACATATTAAAAAAATGCAACATACTTGAGAAAATATAAGCACCCTATGACCTTCCTCATTGAGTTTTCTGAGCATTTTTTGGAGAAGTAAAAGTTTTCCACAGGCTTTAATCAGGCTTGTACCTTCATAAGCACCATTAGGTAATTTAGGAGCTTCCTATAAAATAAAACAACAATAATTACATATAAAACAAAATTATGCTAACATAATCTGGAAATCTGTTGATTCTTCCTGTTGAAAATGTTCAGCTGTTTTTTTTTTTTTTTTTTTTTTTAGAGTAGATATTTTTCATTATCTACCCTTTCAGAAAACAGCTTTTTCAAGATGTTAAAAAAAATTACTAAAAATCTTAAAATTTGTGCTGTAATTTTCTGAATTCTTTCCTACATTTTTTGTATGACTAGCATTTAATTTTTTCAACTACTCTCCATAATATATATGTATATATAATCTCAGCATATAAAAGGGGCTAACTTTACATCTGATTAAAAAAAAGCACTAAAACAAATTAATGCATACATTTTTACGCATTTCACTTACAATACTGTTAAAAATATCTTAATGAATAAAAAATAAAAGTGGTTCTGTTTACTATGACTTATAAATATTAATAAATTAACCATACATAAGTGAAATACACTTTTGCTAGATGATGGGAGAAGATTCACATCATAATATTAAACATGCAGCAGTTAAAAACTAATAACTATAATTTAAAGCACTTTCCTGCTCAAGAATACAAACCACAGCAACTATTTTTCACTCTTACGGGAATTACTAGCATTATTTTATATGGAAATAATTACCTTGAAAATTCCCTTGACAATTTTCAGATATAATACAGATATAATAAATTAAAAGCAGATTATACAATTACACAGAATTTGTTGCATTATGAATACTGAAAATGAAGATTTCACTGGCATGATTTTATTACATTTCTCACCATCCAAATGTAAGATGCAGATGGATTGCAGGCAATGTGTAGATAAAATTAATTTAGTACTCATACACTGTTAAACATACTTGTCATATGCATGGTGCACTTAGCATTAACTTGACAGTAAATATCTGAATCTTGGTGTGAAGAACTATAATTGTACAAGCAAGAATAGTAAATAAACTGTTACTGATATAAATCATTTTCTGCGAACCAATTCGCTTCTTTTAATCTTAATCATTTAACTGCACTAGACAGTTTTTTAAGAATACATCAGAAGTTCTCTGTTTAGACAGTATAAGGTTGACTTGAATACACAATGAAAAGACAAAACAAGTACCCAGAAAACATCTACACTATAAAAAAACAACTGTGTAATAAAATGTAGCTGAAAATAAAAATCATAATAATTACTAAGAGTGAACTGGATTAACTATATTCTTATTTATGTTTATGCGGAGTTCGCCGAATTCAACAATCACAGTCTCAAGATAAGGTTTCCAATCCTTGAAGTTTTGACATATTTTACTTTTTATCACTCAAATAAAGCTATAGTATTAAAGGTGTGGTGTGGAATTACACCCGTAACATCAATATTACACTTTAAAGAGTTACCGTAATTTCTGGAAGAGAGGCCACATCAGCGTAAACGCCGCACTCGAGGAAAAAATTTAAATTACACAGAAACGCCGCAATAGATTAAATTGTGCGTGACATCGTCATGAGCCGTATAGATGCCAAAATCTCAACCTAAGTCCTGATATATGACATATCAGTTAAGAAAAATGCATGAAATGAAACCATAACTCAAAAATAAAGCTAAGAAATGTTGAAAATATATTAATAAATAAAAATATATACTTATATTTACCTACTAAAGAAGTCCATATTGTAATACTCAGACTATATATAAAAAATGTTGCTGCAACAACGAAATATTAAATTGGATGATTGATAAAAGGAAATTTTAAATTTTACTTACTTACAAAAGGAATTACAGCAAACTATACATCATATGAAGAAATCAAAATCTGATTCTTCACTATCTGAATTAAAAAGATTTAGTAAATCCTGATCTTCCATGTCTTCCAGATCGTCACGTTCATACTTTTGGTTTGCAGTCTCTTTATCTAAGGATATAATTTCAGCTTCTTTGAACCCTGCTATTATTGACAATGTTTCTATCGATTTTCACACACTTCCTACCCACTTTGCACCTTCTTCATAAGATGCACTATGCATTTTACCGCTTTTGGTATAAGTATGCAATCCTTCACTCATCCAACACTCCCACCACTTTCGGACTTCAGTTTTGAAGGATTTATTACCTGAAAAATCTAATGGTTGTAAGATTTTTGTCAAACCACCAGGAATTATTGCTACGGTCGTACACAATTTTTGACATCTGGTTTTCCCCGACTCAAGTAAATGAGCACGCATGGAATCCATTATCAATAACCCTTTTGGTTGGAAAAAAGGTCCCTTACAACATTGCCAAACTTTTTGTAGCCACTCATGCATAATTGTTTCGCACATCCAGCCATTCTCGTTTGCACAAAAAATTATGTCCGGAATAGTCTTTCGTTTAAAAATGATCATCAGCTTGTCACCGTTTGTGGCACAAGCTAACACACATGTAAATGACGTTCTTTCATGCCCCATCGTAAGCACAGATACAGTTTTTGCACCAGGAGAGTCGAAAGCTAGCGGCGTTTCATCCATATTTATTATTTGTGACCGAAGAAGTTTTTTTTTTGTCAATAATATTTGTTACATATTTTAGAAAAGATGCCTTTTTATCCTGCCAGTCCATTGGTAATTGTTGCCCGATTGTTGTTCTAGTACGCACAGAAATATTTTTTCTTTTCATAAATCTGCTATACCAGCAAGGCCCTCCTTTGAAATCATTTATGCTCATTTGTTTTGCTATAAATTTTGCTTGTAAGTGAATTTTTACAAGTCGAAATTGCCATTCCCTCTCTTTGTTGCTCCTTTATCCAAGTTTGCAAGGTCGTCCTCTAGATTCGGCCACCTTACAATACCACTTCTTTTGGCTCGTTTCTGTTGTGGCATATTTTTAAGAAGTTCTTTTTCAGTTCTCCAACGTCGAATACATCTCTCGTCCACTTCAAACTCTCGAGCTGCTGCCCTATTTCCAATTTGTTCAGCACGTGAAATTACATTAAGCTTAAAACCAGCAGTATAGCTTCTGTGCCATTTAGGTGACATTTTCAAAATTTTTCTGCTCCCTTCTTACTTAAAAACTATCCAACAAGTACTTGTACTCAAAGTGATGGGATCTGTATCTGGCAGAATGCCAAGAAAAATCGATTCATGCTGAAGGATAATTCGTTATTGCGAGGCAGGTGGAATTCTGCCCACCTTTGAGGAAATTGCAGAAAAGGCAGGGGCGGGGAGAGGATGAACCCTGGAAGATTCATCGAATGGCAGAGGAGAGTAACTATTCAAACTGATGAGAATGCTGATTTGAAAAGGGAAAGAATGTTATTGTTCTGAGATCCTGTTTAGGGTGAATAAGGCATGTAGGTCTGTTCAAGGGAAAGAATGTAAACAAAATAACATTCGCAAAAAGCAACTGTGTGGTCTTTTGTGTGGGAACAGCACCAGTCTATGTACAATGACATAGCCAACCAAACTATGTACAATGACCATCATAGGAAATATTTTATTTTTAGTGCACTTAAATAACCACATGGGTAGAAACGCTGTACCTACTGAAAATTTAAGTTTTAAACACGTAAACGCCGAGGCATTCCTTCCGGAAATTATGGTACGTATAATTTCAACATACAGGAGTTGTTTCACTTAAATTTTTTTCACAACAGATCACAATCTAGAAAAATAAGGTTAATTTATGTTTCAGTTATTTGATAAAGTCCAGAGACTCATAATTTTGAAAATTAAAAAACTGCTAACAAAAGTCAGCTACAATTATATATGATTGAAAAGATAGACATTTATTAACAAATTATCACTAACTTAAATACCAGAATGCCATGTTTAGTAATTTCCTACCTATGCAAATCATTGTATGTATTACTGCAATCTGCACTTTTCTCATCAACATTAAAAAAAGAAGGACTTTGATATACTTTACCTTTATGTTTATGTTGTGTCTATCTAGCCCACAACAAAAACATAAAGGTAAAGTATATCATTGTTGTTATTTTCATTATAATGACTTCTGAAGCTGAAATAATTGTTTTCCATGAGAGCTGATGCTTCTAAAGCATACTTTTTTTTTTTATGAAGCACCTTTCAACTTTCAGTACATAATTACAATAATCTTTACTGCTCATAGGATAAAGTATTTACTGCCTTCTTTCCTATATGAAAACTTACTTGAGCAGCTGCTGGGAATAAGTAGGGATGATTGCAACATTTCTTCAAATCCATCATAATATTTAATAAAGATACTTGATGACCTCCACCTTTGGCATTCAATGCTTCAAAATTCCGAGTTAATATAAATTTATAGTATTTTCTGAAAATGAAAAGAATGAGATATTTTAAAATAATGATATACTTAATATTTACAATATCAGTTAAAAATTACTACTACTACTACAGCCAGATTTACTTCATTCCCCTTTCACAATCAGAATAGCAAAATTAAGTTATATACACTAATTTTGCAGAGAAGAGTAAAAGAAAACTTATACAATTAAAGAAATTAGAATGCAGAAGTGCATAACAATTTATCCTAAATCAGACGTGAAAAAGTTCTGAGAGAATTACGTGACTTTTCTTTATCAGTAACAAACAAGTTATTATTTTTTTTATTTTTCAAATTTAAAACTAGTACCCAATTTTTCACTTCCAAAAGTTTAAGTACTGAAGTCTCATTTTAATTCATATGTTTGTTAGAATCATCAATTATTTATTATCCAAAATTACAAAATTAAATTTGTCTATAATAATATCTAACAGCGTAAAATAAAGGTTTCATATAAATTTAAAACAAATTTATAAAAGATGGATAAAAATGCAATAATATATACATATGAAATTATAATCTAAGAAGATATAAATGAAAGTTTAAAGAGACAGCCCTAGAAAAGAATTATGTTTTCTCAATACAACATAATAAGGCAATGCAAAATCTACATTATAATTAAAAATTTAAATTCATTTTTCACCTCCAAAATGCACTCAATCTATATTTTGGTTTTGGAAATCTTAATTATGACTAAGAATATTTTTTTTTAAATGTCAAGAAATATTCAAGGCAATATATACAAAAATTAAGATTGATTTGTTGCTATATAAAATGGTTTAAAAAGCATTAAACAAGATAAAAAAGACATACTTCTGCATTGCTGCTAAATCAACACGAACAATAAATTCACTTTTGGCAGGAATATTCTGAAAGACAGATAAAATATTAAGTATGTTTTTATGTAGTAAAAAATACCATTTACTTTTATAGTGTAGTTAAAATCACTCTTTTTTTTTTTTAAACAATGATTTATAATTATTCAATGGTCTAAAATACACATACAACTTTTAAAACATAAACATTTATTATTTTGAATGAACATGGACTATTTTCTTACATGATACAGCTGGCAGCATTTACTTCATATATAAATAATCAAAACATGAAATTTTAGAAAAACACTTTTTTTTAAAAGATCTAAACACAAAGTATTAATTAAATTATGCAGCATTTCAAATTTATTTCTAGCAATAAATAAATAAATAACAGGAGGTGGAACAAACACTGTTCAAAGACCATAAACATTCAATGATATGTTATACAGCCAATCAAAAGCATTAACTTGACAGTAAATAACTTTGATCAAGAATCAAGCTTTAAATACTAAGCCAATATAAACAAAGAAAATCAGCAAGCATGCCAACATAATATTTACTTTCAAAACATCTGCTTTTAACCTCCGAAGCAAATGACAACCAAGCAAATCATGCAATTTTTTAACTTGTTCTTCCTTGGCCAAATCAGCAAATTCGTTAAGGAAACCCTGAAGATCACTGAAACGATGTACACAAATGTTAAAAATAAAAGACAAAATGTCTTATTATGTAAAACTTATTTAAAATACAATCATATATGCTAAATTTTTTTAAATATATTATATTTAATCATTCACTCACTTGAAACGACTAGAATTCAAAAAGTTCAATAAATGAAATAATTCTTCTAAATTATTCTGAAGAGGGGTCCCAGTAAGCAACAGTTTGTAATTTATTTTATATGTGTTTAGGACTTTGAAAAACTAAAAAAGAAGGGAGAAATTAAATCATAGCTCCAACAATACAATTTTGGGAATGAAATAAAATTTTCAAGCAGTAGATCTTTTCAAACCTTAGATTGATTATTTTTTAATCTGTGAGCTTCATCAACGACCAAAACTTGCCATTCAATGGATCCAAGCATAGTAGTATCTATGCATACTAACTCATATGATGTCAATAGGACATGGAACTTTATAGTACAGTCTTTCTGCAAATATTCAAAGTAATGATTAAAATAACTGAAAGGACATTTTGAAATAACTTCAACTTTAATAGAAAGATAAAAGATTCTACATTCTAGTGCTTTAAGACTAATTACTAACAGAGAAATTAAATAGCCCTAGAAATAATAAAAATTTATGTATGTATTCTGCTAGCAAAGTTCTCATAAGCATATTAAATAATTAAACAATAAATCCATTTCTAACAAAAAATTTTTAATTTAGTTTAAAAAAAAATGTAAAGACTAATAAAATCTTTTATTAAATTATTATTCCATGAGCTATTTGAATAGCATAGTACTCTGCTACGTACAAACTGCATAATTATGAAATACGTTAAACAAAAAAGAAAATCAGAAAGTATGATTTTACATTGGCACCAGAGGATTTGTTAAGATTTTTATGCTCTTACTGAACATCAGAGGTTACCTAACTGCTCTTGGACTAAATTTTTTTGTCTTTCTAGCTTTATTATTAGCATCACTTTGTTCACACTTACGGCACAGCAAAATCACATTAATTTAAAATTTAACAGCAAAACCACAAAATTTTTAAAGCATATGTTTAGAATTCCCAATACAGTATTACACGTTGATACACATAAATTTTTTCTCAATTTATCATATCAATGTTCAGTTTTCTTAGTAAGATAACTTCAAAAACTTTTTTATTATGTAACAGAGCTATTTAACTGTAACTTAACTATTGTATTGAACGCCATCTAGTGGCGAAGAGGACAAACGACAGTCGACCTCCAGCCGCCATAGTGATAGGTTACTTTGTACTAGATGTCTCTAATTCTAATGTTTGAGATTCCATTTGGTATATGTTTCATTTTTATGCATTTTTTTTTTTTTTTTTTTTTTTTTGGTTTGTAACAGTTCCTGTGCGCTCTGATAATAAATCCTTTTAGATCTAATCGGCATTAGTATCTATTGAGGAGCGGCTACATCCCATTGGCACCCAACTAAACTTGAATCCAAAATGGCGCAACAAAATCTTTAGAATTTCTGTTTGGCTTTAACAAGCCCTTACTCCCGAATTTAACTTTTGGTTGCTGGAGATCGGCTCAGTCTCTTTTCAGGTGTGGACTGCTGGTCCAAAAAATTCTGGAAACCAATTCTGGAATAAAAATTGTCATGCCATGCTGCTAGTACATCGAATCATCGACTGGACGCTTTCAATGGAAAAGATAAGTTTCTTTTAAATTATTGTTAAAAAGATAAGTTTTGTTTACATTATCATTTAATCTGAGTTTAAAGTTCTTTTAAACTGATTATTTCTTATAAGCTGTTCTTAAAGCAAATGTAACTTCCTTACAGAAATCTGATTTTCTGATACTGTAAGAGTATTAAACGAAAGAAAACTGCTTTCTGTTACCAAACGTTATTTCTTGAACTGTAATTTGTTATTTTAAAATGTTAATGTGCATGTTAAATTAACTTGTGGATACTATTGTCACACTGAATACATGTTTTGATGATAAAGTTTTGAACATATTCATGGATGTTGTTCATTAGAATTTATTAGTTTCGATTCTAACTTACAGCAGCAGTATTTGAAAAGACAATACCGGAGGAGTCTTTTGCTAATGGTTCAGTATTTGAAAAAGAGGTACTTCACACAGAACAAATTATTCTTCTTGAAGGCAAATAGTTCAAAACTCCGCTCTTTGTGTTGCCTGATGCCAAAAATAACTCGACTTAGGAATTGACTTTCTTCAAAAAGCTAAAATTGTTTTAAATCTTGCTGAAAATATGTGGAACTTTTCTGATGAACCTCGAAGAAAATATAGCTTCGTGAAGCCTCATCAATCTCAAGCACTGGAAGAAACCCTAGTTGTTGTAAACAATTAACTATGGAAAAATGAAGGACAACAATTAACTACAGCCCAAAGGCTTGCAACTGATGCTTTGCTTAAATATCCCACTGTCTTCAAAGTAGGGGGAGAAGCCACTCCATTCATTGAACATCATATGAACACAAGAAACAGCCCCACCCCATTTCAGTCTCTCGGTATCGGATGAGTAAGTAAGAAAGAACTGTTGAAAAAGGAACTTGACTCCCTTCTAAAACAAGGTATCATAAAAGAATGTAAAATCCCCTATGCCTCTCCTGTGGTTCTGATTCCCAAGGCAGATGGAAAAGTACGGTTATGCATTAATTATTGTAACCCAGCGTTTCCCAAACTCGGAGGCACGACTTCCTAGGGAGGTGTGGACTAGTCTAAGGCGGACACAACAGTAAGTAATTTAAATAAGTTTAATTTTTTAAGAGCAATAAATTAATTATCCTAATATTTTTAGAGAAATGGATAAGTTCTTGACTGGTTATAAGAGAAAATCCTCTAATAAAGAAGAATCTGATGTTGGCACAAGTAGCAAGAATCAGGAAGGAAGAACTCCCAAGACAAGAAAATACGATTCGTCTTATTTATCGTTCGGATTTACAAGTGTTATTACTTATAATGTGGAAAAACCAATGTGTTTGTTTTGTTGACAGTATGAGACCCGGAAAATTAAAACGCCACATTGAAACTATGCATTTTCAATACGTTGGCAAGTCCCAAGAATTTTTTCAAAGAAAATTGGATGAGTTCACTAAACAAAAGCAAACATTCAAAAAACAGTTCATATTCCATCAAATGTGTTACTAGCATCGTACTTAGTATCTGATAGAAACACGAAGTGTAAAAAACCACACACAATAGGAGAAACATTAAGTTTTGCCAGCAGCTATTGATATGGTCCAAACAATAGTTGGTGAAACATATGTGAAACAGTTGCGACAAATACCGCTTGCTGATAACACCTGTTGGCAGAAGAAACGATGATATATCTGACGATCTTTGCGATCAATTAGTTTCTCAGATTCACACTTCAAAATTCGCCTTACAAGTAGATGAAGCAACCGATGTAGCTAAAGATGCACATAATTGAATATGTTCAATATGTTGAAGAGAATAATATAATTGAAGATATATTATTTTGGAAACCCATTCCTGGCAAAGCCACATCCAGTGAAATTTTTAATATAATCGACAAAATTTTTTTTTTTTTTTTTTTTTTTTTTTTTTTTTTTTTTATGAGAACGGCATATTGTGGAATAATCACATTGGGCTTTGTACAGACGGTGCACAGTCAATGTCAGAACACAAAACTGGCCTTCAAGCACTAATTAAAAGAAAAACACCCAATGTTCTCTGGATGCACTGCATGCTTCACAAAGCAGCTCTTGTATCAAAAAATATGAGTGCGAACTTAACTATGTTTTTACAAAAGTAACGAAAGTTGTAAACTACATAAAAAAAGGTCCATTAAAAGTTAGGTTATTCGCAAAGCTGCGTGAAGATATGGAAGTTGCTTACACCTTACTTTTGCATTATTGTGAAGTGCGCTGGCTATCTCGTGCAAAAGTGATCCAGAGGGTACTTGAACTCAAAGAAATTGCAATTTTTTTTTGAAGAAAATCATAATGAGAATACAAATATTAATTTAATAATTTTATTATTAACCCTCTCGCTGCGCATCCCGCGATTTCGACGGGCAACGTAGAAGTAGCAAAATGTGCGCAACCCACGATTTCCGTGGGGATGAATTTTTGCCGTCTATTTAACTGTGCAACCTGCTCTTTCCTAGTTCAAGGTTTCCTTTCAGCTTTTCTGTGATGTTTAATTGTTTATTTAGATGTGGGCTAACAGATGGCGTTAGATGTCCACATTTCTGCCAAATATACAAGAATTACATAACGTAACATTTTGCGTGCACTTTTCAAAGTTCAAAGGTGTCTGGCAGGAACCGTTTCGCGAGTGATATAACCTATATTCCTGACGATATTCCCGACACTGATAGTAGTTTTGACTCTGATTTCAAGTATATTGAAGATAGTTATAGTGAAACTGATGAGAATTTCTCGGATTCCTCTGCAGATAGTGATGAATCTGAAAATTCAGTTTCTATTGAAAACTTTCGACAGTGGTGCAAAATATTACACTATGCAAATATTTTCAATAGTATATATGTTTTACCTTAGTATTTTATAAAATAAATCATAATTTAACCAATATATTAATTTTCAAAATTTTCCTTTTGATATCATTATTCTTCAATTTCAGTATTCTGACAACCTTTTTCTATGATCTAATTCTATATTAAGAAGAAAAAAAAAAAAAAAAAAAGAAAAAAAAAAAAAAAAACTCTTTTACAAAAATTTTTGTATATTTTAACTTTAAAATATACTAAAAATATATGTAGATTTGAAATATGTAATAAAAAATACGCAATTTTTAAACCTATTTTGATAAAAAAAAAAAGTACTCAGTGAGAGGGTTAAACATACCTACTTGGAGGAAATTTTTGGAAAATTGTATGTTTTGAATAAATCGATGCAAGGGCCACAAATGCATTTATTGATTCAAAAAGATAAAGCGAAAGCATTCATTAAAAAAATGGAGATATAGAAGACAAATTTGGAAAAAAATAGGTTCGACATGTTTCCACTTTTAAATTTATGCACCTAAGTTAATATAGAAGCAAACAAAAATCTATTTGTTGAACACTTGGATGGTTTGTTAATTCATTTTTCGAATTATTTTGATGATCTTGATTTTACAAAGTATGCGTGGATACAGAATCCATTTATCGACGAAGAAGATGATGAATTTGAATTAACAAGTATTGAGAAAGAAAACTTGATTGAACTATCTTGTGATACTTCTTTAAAACAAAAATTTCAGAATGTATCTCTGATTCAGTTTTGGCTAGATATTAAGAGTGAATATAATATTTTTTTCAAATAAAGCTTTAAAAGTATTGCTGCCATTCGCAACATCTTTTTTATGCGAAACAGGATTTTCTGCATTAGCTGCAATAAAATCGAAATATCGTGCTCGTTTGATTGTAGAAAAGGAGCTTCGTGTAGCTATCTCATCAGTGACACCGAGATTTGATAAGCAGATAAAATCTTTTATTTTATTTCAGCAAACATT